GGGGGTAGTGTAGGGATCTTATGAGTATCAAACTCTGTGATACTGGACTAACTGTACACCCAACAACAGAGGAGGGTGGGGACGGAGGTAGTGTAGGGATCTTATGAGTATCAAACTCTGTGATACCAGACTAACTATACACCCAACAACAGAGGAGAGTGAGGTGTGTTTTATACCACAATATAAAATAAACATTTGATAAACAATGTCACATCTTATTTTTTTAACATGTTTTACTACATTTTTATTTAAGTCTTCCACAATACGAGAATTTGATGATCGCTTCACATCTAAAATGTTTGGATATGACGACTGGAAGGATTATTACAGGGATGCCTGTATACACAACCGTGTCCACAACCTAAGAGTACCAGTCCTGGTGTTGAGTGCTGCCGACGATCCTTTCTCTCCCCACCACGGTCGGTATAACAGTTCACAGTTTATCTCATAACTTCTCTCCTCTAGTTCATGGGTTTTTGGTAGATTTACTTCCTGTTCTAAGATTGTATTTTACAATGAAATCACTAGATAATATATCAAACAACTCTATTTATTTTACAACAATTATGCAACAAGTTATTTCAACTTATATTAATCACTCTTGTTGGCATGGATTTTAGCGCGGGGGGGGTCTAACTGTTTTATATATTAGTCTCATTTATTTTTCAAACCACATCAATGTGTGATCGCTTCAAGGTAAAAATTTGAAAGGGACTATTTCCAGCTATATTAAATTTACATAGGAGCCTGCCCCCTCATAACTTTTGTTTCAGAAGTGCTATGAGATACAAACTTTATATCAAAGGATAATGTGTAGGCACCTGTTCTACATCTTTCGGAGAAATATAAAATTTGTTCAAGAGTGGGCTCTATGGTAGGTAAGAGAAAAACTAGGTAAAAACCTGTCAAAATTGACTGAATAATCAAATTTCAATAATTTATGCAAATATGACCTGGTTACCATGGCAGCAAAAATTGAAAACACACATAAATGTTTACATAATAGTACTGGGGAAGTATTCAAAATTAAAGAAACAGTCGTTTGAAAGTTTCTTGCAGATTTTAATTTTAATGGATTTGGGGGCCAAAAAAGGCCCAAACCATACATAGTCCTTTGACAGAAGTATTATGGTATGGGGTTGTCCGTCCGTCTTCCAGCATAAACTTTTCTTTGACTGGCAATCTCCAGCTATCCTCATCAAGGAAGTTAAATTGTCGTTGATGTTGTTTTGTGTGTTCCAGCAATCCGAACATGGAAGTTAAATTGTCATTGATGTTGTTCTGTGTGCTCCAGCAGTCCGAACAAGGAAGTTAAATTGTCATTGATGTTGTTCTGTGTGTTCCAGCAGTCCGAACAAGGAGGTTAAATTTTCGTTGACGTTGTTTTGTGTGTTCAAGCAATCCGAACAAGGAAGTTAAATTGTCATTGATGTTGTTCTGTGTGCTCCAGCAGTCCGAACAAGGAAGTTAAATTGTCATTGATGTTGTTTTGTGTGTTCCAGCAGTCCGAACAAGGAAGTTAAATTGTCGTTGACGTTGTTTTGTGTGTTCCAGCAATCTGAACAAGGAAGTTAAATTGTCATTGATGTTGTTCTGTGTGTTCCAGCAATCCGAACAAGGAAGTGAAATTGTCATTGATGTTGTTTTGTGTGTTCCAGCAATCCGAACAAGGAAGTTAAATTGTCATTGATGGTTTTTTTGTGTGTTCCAGCAATCCGAACAAGGAAGTTAAATTGTCATTGATGTTTTTTTGTGTGTTCCAGCAATCCGAACATGGAAGTTAAATTGTCGTTAATGTTGTTTTGTGTGTTCCAGCAATCCGAACATGGAAGTTAAATTGTCATTGATGGTTTTTTTGTGTGTTCCAGCAATCCGAACAAGGAAGTTAAATTGTCGTTGATGTTTTTTTGTGTGTTCCAGCAATCCGAACATGGAAGTTAAATTGTCGTTAATGTTGTTTTGTGTGTTCCAGCAGTCCCCATCAAGGAAGTTAAATTGTCATTGATGTTGTTTTGTGTGTTCCAGCAATCCCCATCAAGGATGTTAAATTGTCATTGATGTTGTTTTGTGTGTCCCAGCAATCCGAACAAGGAAGTTAAATTGTCATTGATTTTTTTTGTGTGTTCCAGCAATCCCCATCAAGGAAGCAGAACAAAATGACAACATAGCTATTGTGGTGACATCCCATGGTGGCCATATTGGATTTCTTGAAGGCATTCTGCCTCGTCACGGCGGCTATATGGATCGCCTGTTCTCCCAGTTTTCCCGTGCCATCTTTGAACATGGACCCAGTACACTATTAGCAGTGGAGAAGTAACAGAGACAAATAGACTTGTTAGGTGTATCCTGTAACAGACCATGTGGTAAATATTGATGTAGACCTCCCTTCCGACTGGGGCCGAGTCATGTGACATACCATGTGGTAAATATTGATGTAGACCTCCCTTCAGACTGGGGCCGAGTCATGTGTCATTCCATGTGGTAAATATTGATGTAGACCTCCCTTCAGACTGGGGCTGAGTCATGTGACATACCATGTGGTAAATATTGATGTAGACCTCCCTTCAGATTGGGCCGAGTCATGTGACATACCATGTGGTAAATATTGATATAGAACTCCCTTCAGACTGGGGCCGAGTCATGTGACATTCCATGTGGTAAATATTGATATAGAACTCCCTTCCGACTGGGGCTGAGTCATGTAACATGTCATGTGGTAAATATATAAAACTTGTATCAGAATATTGAGTCTGTTTCACTTATTGAAGTGAAGTTATTGTAAATGTAGTATATATTGTTTTTTGTAAATTTGTATGATATTGAGCTTATGTCTCCGAATACTTAATGATGTGTCATATTGTCTAATAAATTGATCAAGTTTTCTGTAAGAATACAAAATTTTGGAATCAAAATTATGGTTCAGTTAAATATATCATAAATTGATATTTATTATGTCATTTGTCAAAGAAATGTGATATTAAGTAATATTTGGTGTTAATAGCACATTGTTTTTCTGTATAGAAAATGATTCTACTATAGAAATGTATAGAAACAATACAGCTATGCTTTTAATGTTGATCAGGCGACTGGGAATCAAACTGAGGGACCGTGCAGTTCACATTGTACCACAAAAACTTGTAGGATTTGTGCATCTCTTAAGCTTGTTAATTAACTCATTGACCCCTGAAGTTCCATAGTGAACTATTCCAACCTTTGAATTGGAAGGGTTCAAATGTGTCTTCAGGGGTGAATGAGTTAAATAGTACAATGTTGAGCTAAAACTGCTGAACACAGCTACTTGCCCATATACTTTGCACATCACATCTTTTCCTTGCAAGATTGACCCGGAAAACTTAAAATTCTTGTTTCTAAAAGTACTTCTGTACAACATTGATTTTCATATAAAAATTCCATAAAAAAGTTGTTTTTTATTATGTAGCTTTTTCAGAAATCACAGAGTTCACTTCCAGTTTAGTTTTTCGTTTAGTTCATATATAAATCAAAATATGTATTATGTTAAGGGCAGTTATTATTTGTATGTGTTCTTGATTGTATAAAGCTTTAAAAATTTTAAATCCTTTACAGTAAAACCTTGTAATAAGGGGTTTAAAAACTTGTACAGTAAAAGCTTGTTATAAGGGGTTTTGCAATAAATTGAGGGAAGGAATTCTTATGAAGAAAAGGAGCATTGCAATATGTTGGCGGTAAAAGAGGTGGCAATTGAAACGAGGGGCATTATAAGGAGGTCTTACTGTACAGGTATTGAAAAACATCCATAAAAATTCTCTAAATCACTTTAGGGTCTAATGTTGGAGAATGTTTATGTTTGATAGTTGAATATGCATTATAATATAATTCTTCATGATTTTGTTATGTTTTCTTCATACATTCTTGTTCTTTCAATATCTATAGCTACACTGTAGGTGTTTAAATATTGTCTAGAGCTATACACTGTAGGTGTTTAAATATTGTCTAAAGCTATACACTGTAAGTGTTTAAATATTGTCTAGAGCTATACACTGTAGGTGTTTAAATACTGTCTAAAGCTATACACTGTAGGTGTTTAAATACTGTCTAGAGCTACACTGTAGGTGTTTAAATATTGTCTAGAGCTACACTGTAGGTGTTTAAATACACTGTAGGTGTTTAAATATTGTCAAGAGCTACACTGTAGGTGTTTAAATACACTGTAGGTGTTTAAATATTGTCCAGTTTATAAATGTTATTAACCAACTTCTTAGAATTTTCAATACGGTTTTATATCCAGTTACATTTTCGCCTCAGGAATATGAACTTCAGACAGTCAACATCAATTCATGCTTCATGTACCAGTATTAGCAATGTTCACATGACAATTGTTGGCATTCAATAATTATACACTTTGGTTGTGATCAATATTTTAGATTCTATCACATCTATGACGTAACAATGTTTTTACTGGTCACCACCATACATTAGGCCAGTACGTAATACATGTATGTGTAATGATGTTCTATAATCTACTCACCTTATCTAGGTCACCATTATAGTCGAACAGAAACACATTTTGTAGCATTTGACCTCGTAGAATAGATGTAATAAGCGTGTGTAATGGTGAAAATATGGGGTCTGAAAAGACTAGAAATACATTTTATCTGTGACCTATTTCAGCATATACTTGCCAACTTTTCCTATTTTGGAAGGTGACTTCCGCTTTTGGACCCTAAAATTAAGCATTTTCAACCAGTGAATTTGCTTAACTATATTCTAAGGTCTCATGACTCCATCTGAAAGAAGAGCACAAATATGTCATTTAAAAGATTATGTACACATTTTATTGATATTTTTAATTCTGGGCATGCCTAATCTCTGGCCAGTATTAATTTGTCTGCTCCATTAACGTGGTCTTATCCTCTGGATATACTCCACCAGATCACTTGTAGGTTGATTTGTCTTCACCATTAACGTGGTCTTATTCTCTGGATATACTCCACCAGATCACATGTATGTTGATTTGTCTTCTCCATTAACGTGGTCTTATCCTCGGGATATACTCCACAAGATCACATGTTTGTTGATTTGTCTTCACCATTAACGTGGTCTTATCCTCTGGATATACTCCACCAGATCACTTTTAGGTTGATTTGTCTTCACCATTAACGTGGTCTTATCCTCGGGATATACTCCACCAGATCACATGTTTGTTGATTTGTCTTCATCATTAACGTGGTCTTATCCTCTGGATATACTCCTCTAGATCACATGTAGGTTGATTTGTCTTCACCATTAACGTGGTCTTATCCTCGGGATATACTCCACCAGATCACATGTTTGTTGATTTGTCTTCACCATTAACGTGGTCTTATCCTCTGGATAT